TGTGTGTTCACATATCGCTGCAAATATTTCCGTTCGCTTTTGTCGCTCAAGTCGCTCATGACGTACAATTCGAACGTCGCCTCTACGTTCATGCGTCTACATTCCGATTGGTCGTCAGTGTTTTGCAGCCGAAACGCGTCGTAGTCATTTGCGTAAAGTTCAGCCGTCTTCAACTGTTTTTGGTCGCTCTGGTCGCTCAACTTTTGCCGCCGGTAGCGTTTGTCGCTTGTGTCGCTTCGGTCGCTCTTGCCCATCGAAAGTGAATGACTTCCGGTGATTTGGCAGCTTAATTCGCTTCTGATGTGAACACAGTCACTTTTTTTGTTGGGAATCATGTTGCATTTATTTTACATTTAGATTCGCATTCAGCGGCTCGGCGGACGCTTTGAGCCGAAGCGACTTCACTTGAGCGAGACGGTGAACGATAAAAGCGGCAATACGCTCAACAGGCGGAGTATCGACACAAAAATCCCATTGACTTTTTACGAGCAGAGTATATAGGAACCGGCTCTCCTCGGCCGGCGGTGTGGGCGCCCTGCCTTCCCTTCGGTGTTCGGCGGTGCTGATGGAGAGACATGTTAATGTAATTAGGGATAATGTAATAGCAGCGGTGTTTTCTGCAGCTTCAGGGAGATTACACTAATGATGAGGGAGCGGGGCTGCAGGAGATAAGCCGGGGGTGGATCCATAGGAACCGTTTGGCCGGTGGGATAGTATAGACCGGCGGCGGCGTGGCCCTTGGATGTTGTGGTCGTTGTTATTCTATCGTCTAGCCCACCGAAAGTTTCTGGGTTCGAACCCCGATGTCCACACAGTCGGTATCTTTGAGCGAGGTGCCCATGATCCCTACCTGCTCCTTCATGACATGAGTCTGACTCCACTGCGTGTCACTTTGAGTGAAAAGTGTCGGCTAAAGGCCGAAGTGATGAATACTGTGTGTGTTGTCGTTGTTATGACATGTTGTAAAGAGTGGGATGGCCCTGGGATGTAAATGGTATCAGTGTTAGTTTAGCCTACCACAAAAAAACTAATTGAATTGCATACCAGGCAGCTCTGTTTGAATCTAATTGACTTGATGCATTTAATTTAAACTTCTTAGTCTGTTTTCGAACAGATTGTCCAGTCAAACAGTTAACTCCCCAAACCAGACGGTCCCAGTTCAGTACTGATTTAGCAGTAATTATAATCCACACTGTCGGAGAAGGCTATTGATAACATGTACCCCCCCCCCCACTATCCCTTATAGATTCTGGTGGATTTTTCCATAGTCCCATTTTTTTATCGCGGCGGCTTTGTACCGTTCCCCCCCGCTGGCATCGCAAAACCAAATCCCCTGATATCCATCTTTTAATCCCCACAATGAAATAAGAGCAAAGGAGATCATGACATCATGCGTGCGGCGGTGGCGGCGGCGGCGGCTGCTGGCTATTAGGTCCTCAGACGGGAGGCAGACGGGTCCTTTTCGCATGCGGAGTCAGGGATCCACCTCGGCCCGGTCTCCGCTCCTCCTCCTCTACCTCTGGGATTAGCCGGGCTGTCGCTATCGCTACGCTAGCCACGCTGTGTTAAGGCGTCAGGTCCGCATCATTAGCCCCTAAGACTTCCTGTTGCTGGACAGGAAGTGAGCTAATTGATGTGCTGAGGTTGAGGTTGATGTCGTGCTCGTCCTCGGCAAGAAAGAACAAATAAAACTCCTTTTATACTATAGATTTATAGATATATCGATCTTCATTCAAAGTTACATGAATTGAAAAATAAATAATGATAAGTAAATTAATACATGAATGCATAGAAATGGATGAAAATTCTGCCATTTACAAGCAAATTCCTTCTTTCCCATTATTGCATTTCTCATTATCCTTAATGAAATATATATTTTTTCCATTTTCCTCTACAAACCCGATGTATTTGTTTATCTACCCATGAGATTTATTCAATGATATCACTGTCAACATTCAACATTCAGGCTGAAATCTTCTGTCATGCAGAGGAGTATGTTTGCAAATCTCAGTTTAGTCCAGTTGTATAAAACCTCCGGCACGCAACCTTCCTATTGTAGCGCCGTACCATCATGCTCATAATTTGTAGGATTATTTTATTAAACGCCGAGCTGCTTCCCTTTTTTGTCAGGGTAGTCGAATGCTGATGTGAAATTTTATTTTTTATTTTATTCCCTGTGTCAATTGGCTGCTAACCGTTGTTGACGACGCTTTGCTTTTACACTTTCCTTAACCCTTCTCTCCACGTTATTCAGCCTCTTCATTATGTGCACTATTCTGACAAACTGTTGCTTCATGGCCCTGTCGGACCCGGCGCCATGGACCAAGTATCTCGAGTAAGTACACAGCATCCGACCTTCACACACACACACACACACACACACATACACACACACACACTGCCTTCGGGATAGTCCTTGCTGGTTAGGGTACGTGACTCCCAGGCGAAAAGGTTCTGGGTTCGAACCCCAATGTCCGCATTCTACCTGTGGTCGCCTCGC